CTCCGTGCCCTCCCGAGAGGCCGGCCCCGCCGGCGGCAGAGAGCAGCCCCGGTGAGATGGCTTTTGCCCAGGGCTCCGGCAGCCCCGAGGCCGCCGCGTGCCCTCCCTTCCAGTGCCGGCAGGATGAGGCCTCCCTCACCCTGCTCCTGCATGTGCCCGGCATCCAGCCCCAGAGCCTCAGCGAGGACATGGGCACGAACCACTACAGCCTCCGCTTCTCCAGTGACACAGGCACCTATGCCCTCTTCCTACAGTTTCCTCCCGCAAACAGGCTGGCATCACGCGAGACCAGCGTTAGCGTGTCTGCCTACAACGCTGCTATCGGGCTCGCCAAAGCCCCCGGGAGCACCGGGCCCTGGGAGAAGTTCTGCTTCGGCCTTGACGCCTCTGGTCTGCAGGTAATGGCTTCAAAATGGCAGGGTTGGTGCATCACGCTCCCCAGAGTGCCACCGCTTCGCTGCAGTGTGTGACTTCTGCTGTTTGGATTCATTTATGACTGATGTCGCAGGGAGCTGTTAGGTTATCGGTCTGAGTTCAGAAGAAGTTGGTAGTGACGGAAACTGCTTCCCTCAGAGGGCTGTTACCGGATGTAAGTGGAACGACCTAATTAGTGCTAGTCTTGTACGAGCAGTACGAAGGTCATGTCACGGAGCTGACATCTTCGTCCTTGAATTGAATTGAAATGATGTCTGCCTCCCGCACTGATTTTTTTCTAAGGGAAATTCTGATGATGAGTGAAAATGGAGCCTGTCCTACGTCCTTAGTGTTAGCCTTCAAGGCCATGTAAATTGCTCATGCAGCCTATTCACATGAAGAAAGGAGATGTTTATAATACACCAGGTGTACACACCCATGCATACAGTGTCATGAAATGCAGGTGTGTGTGGAGTGAGTGTACTGTGTCTGTGTTTGAGGACAGAACTCCCATTTACAGCCCCAGGAACATTAGTTCAACCAGAGTAGTACAGCAAACAGCAGCTGTGAACTGCTGTCGATTGCCATTTTACCGGGCGAGTTCTTCATCTTCTCTTCTTACCAGTCTGAATATGATTCTAGTTTAGATGTTTTATTATTTTATGGGTCGTTAGGCAGCGATGCTCCCTGTGGCGGGAGGAGGTTGGCATGCCTGCTGAGAACTGGCAGTGTCCCCGCGAGGGGATGCTCGGCACTCTTGCTGTCAAGAAACACAAGTTTTGTGGAGAACTACATTATTCTGTAAGCTCAGAGTTTCAAATGACTTATCATGAGCAGGGATTAAGTCTGCACAATTCTTGTGTAACCTTTCAGCCATGTGATTTTGAGTTTGTCCTTATTTTAGAACAATAAAATCCTTTGCAGGTTGGATCATGTACCATGGGAGTGCAAGTCCAGAAAACTGGCAGGCTTAAAGTATATCCGCTAGGATGGTGGCTTGGAGTATCTTAGTTGCTCCATCCCTGAAATTAGAAAATACTTCAGGATTCTGAAAGATATTTATCCAATTAGTATATGTGCAGCTGAATCTTCACGTTTTATTTCCCATTTAGCAGACAGCATACCTTTTCTGTAACAGCAACTCCTCTGAAGGAGGAGCTGATTGTTTCGGGTAAGTATCAGAGATGATGAATTTATTGAGAACCGCCTACACCGAACTGTTTGCAGTGCATTTCCTTTGCTTTTACTGGATCAGGAACCTGCAAGTCTGTGCAAGTGGGGCCACGAAACATTCGGCACTACTGTTAATTGGTGTGATCAAGTGCTGGGTGCCAATGCGACGTCAAGTAAGCCATTGTGCAAACCACGGCCTGTTTTCTGTGTAGGTACAGAAGGCACGGGGTAGGAACTACAGGCATTTTATCTGCCTTTTCAGAGAGTCTGAATATCCATCTCTTTCATCACGTACCGTGGTGTGTGTCCGTGCGCTTGCTTGTTGTTTTATGGCGTGGAGGCCTAAATGCAGGTTTTAAGGGAAAACAACAGCTTTCTGTGACTCTGTGTGGAAATACAGCTGAAAATTCAGTTTGGGAACAGGAAATTCTGCTGCAGTATCTCTTTAGTACTGTGATTGATGGACATTTCTGCATGCTTTGATCTCAGTCTAATGATTGGAAAGTGTTTGGTATGTTCATTATTATGATTAGGGGAACATCTTTTAATTGAAAGTTGTTAAATGGGGATGCAGTGATGGAATTTTTGTCAATATCACATTTTTGGGAGTTAAAAAATCTTTGAATGTGCTGAATTTATTATATATTGCAAAATGTTTTGGGTGGAGGAGTAGTAGGAGGAGATTTGGCATTAGTCATAGGCCTCCCAGCCATTCATTCATGTAGCAGGCTAAAAAAGATTGATTTCTTCTGGGGTCCTTTTGGATACCGGGCCTGCAAATTGAAGCAGCTGAACTAGTCAGAAGTCATTTGTTCTGTTTGCTTTTTTTTAACTGTGCTATTTCCCAAAAGTGCCTGTGCCAGCGCTGATAGCTGCATTCACTCAGAGTGAAGTGAGAAAAATTAATATTTAATTAGAGCTACTATTATATGCTGTCTTCTGCCCATTAACTATTTGCTTGTGGTAGCTTCTCTGCTACTTATGTTGATTTCTTCAATTTGTCTGCTGTCATCTCTGGTGTTTTTCTGCTTTGACTCTCTTTCTGTAAATCAGAGCTACGGTTCTTGCATTGAGATCTGCAAGGAGTTGCATCAGTCATAGAAGAGTGTTTTAGGAATGCATGCAGTAGCAGTGCCCTGTTTAAGCTCCCACCTCAGGGAGCTTTCAGTGGCCTAGGCGAGCAGGCATTTGATTCTGCACCTCCGAGTTGCGCTGCTGTCTGCTTGTTTGTAATCTCTTCTCCCACAGTAGCATCGCCAGAGGATAGTGCGTGGCGAAAGAAGAGGCCAGTGTTTTTTACGGGTATGACATTCCCACTCCGCTGTCTTCTGGGAAGTTGGTTCTTACTGGAGACCAAGGGTTTCTGTGTTGTTTCATGGAACAGGTTCCTCACTGAGTTAGTTACTTCAGTAATCTGCCCAACTCGGCGATAGCTCGTGCCACAATGGCTGTTACAGTACCCTGTTAGGCTGCCTGTGTAATTGTCTCCCATTAACTTGCCAAACAGCCAGGAAAATGTGTTGTGATAATTCTTCACCGCGTGAGCAGAATGCATCTCGTCGGCAGCCTCGTCCCTGGACTATGATGTAGTGCAGCGCGTATTGCTTGATTTTGATTGCCTGTGTGCCTCTGCCCAGATCAACACGTACGATAACGGTGCCGGTAATTGCACAGTCCTGCCTTGCGTGTTTGTGATGTTCCTGTTATCGCACTGGCCTCTTTTCTTGTTGGAAATTGGTCTGATACAGATATTGGTAGAAGAATGAGTTGAGCTTGTCCTTAGGACACCATTCTTGAAACAGAATTTCAAGGACTGGTTTTCCTTTTGTAGTCAGATATGTTTGAATCCCTGTGCTGAAAGATGATATATTTAGAGCTCAGTTTCCATAGATGCTGAGCAGTCTGAATTCCCACCCCAGCAAGTGCTTATTTTGAGCAAGTCTTTACAGCGCAACAGTCCTCCCTGGACTTTAACTGTGTCATTGCAAGTATTCCTTCGTTTGGTAGCTCTTGACGTTGCTTTGGTTTTACTGCTTTCCCATACAATAGATAGTCAGCTCTCTGCTGACTCTGAGCCCTAACTTCTTGTCAGCGGTTGCAGCCGTTGCTTCTCTTTCTCTCTGAGTAGTTTCGCTCCTTGGCTAAACCATAACATCCACGCACTTGTTACGGTGAGCAGAAGTCCTATAAAAACAAAGATCCTGTAACTTTGGACTTTGTGGACCAGGGTCACATATTTCAGGGGTTTAAAAGTTACCTTTTGTCACTGGCCTTGTGCTTAATCGCTGCACCAGAGACCACACAGCGCTGATCTTTCTGCAGGCTGTGTTTTTCCAGGGGGAATAGAGACCCATGACCTGAGGAAGTTGCCTTCACTGTCTGCTCTTTGCCTCGAAGTACCAGCTGTGGGCTGTGCTCCCGCCATTACTCTTTATTGCAGTTCATCCACTAACGCCTTCTACATTTCTCACTTCCATTTGTTCAAATCCTGGGAGCTCAGGCCTAGGAAACTCCTGCATTGGAGAGTTCCCCCTTCATTTTAAGATGACAGAGCCCGGGGAGTAAATGATGAAAAAGAATGGTTGAGAGTTAAATAACCGTTAATAAAATTTGTAAGCCTGCCAGGCAAGGATTCCGAGAACAACATGTCCCAGAATGTCCTGGTTTATGGCAGAGCTGGAGTTGGGCAATTAATGAAATCATGTCTTTGTAAAGCACCGTCTTTTAATGTTTGGTCTCCTGGGGTTAAATGCTCAGTTCTTAACAGAAATAAAAGCCAGTTTTCTGGTGGGTGTATCTGAGCTACTGAGACTTGGAGGCTCAGTTATACTAGCATGTGAAACACGTTTGGTAGATAATTAATTCTGCCTGCAGTTTTTGGGTCATGTGTGCTCATTTTCACGTGATTAGAAAAAGATTGGTTAAAGTAATAATTCCCTTTCATGCTGATCCACACCCTTCCCGCCCTTCTCAGTGGACTGAAATGACTTTGTTCAGAGGATGTGTGCACTCACTCTCCTGGTCAGTGCTTCCCTCCTGGAGTCCCCCTCGCTGGGCAAGGGAATCACTGCAGTCAGCCCATCCCTTTTATAATAAAAGCCCATGTTCTGTTATGGAGAATATTAAGATTTAACTCACGTAAACCCCCACAGGGCTCCAGAGAACAGCAGGGAGCAGTGTTTCCTCTGCATTACTATGCATTGAGATTATGGGGTTTTTTTAACGTTTACAGTTGAAAAATATTATACTAAGCATTCCTGATTAGTTCATGGTTTGAACTAAGCATGAGTTATGCTGTTTGTGAGGTTTACTTAACATAGGTATCTAAAAGGGAATTGCATAGCCATAACAAAAGCTTTGTTTAACTTCTGTGTGAGTGTTGATGCCTTCATGGAGAATGTTTTAGACGAGTGTGTTACTGAGCATAAAAAAAGATGTGTGATTTTTCTGCTTGGCACAGCCACCAGCGCCTTGTGAAGGAGATCCTTTTGAAGCTCTTCTTGCTTTTTCCTTCAGAAAGCAGCCGGTAAGTAACGCTGAAGCCCTGTGACCTCTGCTCGCTGCATGCACCGACTGTCACGTGTTGTTTTCTAACCCCTGGACTTAAGTCTTCTGCTTTGGCAACAGGTCTGCTGTGGGGCAGCTCCTCCAAGACAAACACCCGCTATGACCTGTTTACACAAAAAACCCCGTGGGAACAATATTATTTTTAGTTGTCTTTACAACAGAGGGACTTTCGGTCTTTGTAATTAATCCTCTCGTTATCTCATTGAACACGGTATTTGTCTTGTATGCGCTGTCAGGTCTGTTG